GAAATTGAAATCTGCTTTGACAACGTCGCGCACTTCATCTACTACTAACTGTGGTCAGGCATGCTACACAACACTTATCCATCTGAATTCGGTGTCTTTGATGGTTGGTGGTTTTCATAATGGTTCTAGTTTTTGATAAAGCTCTGTTGTATGTACAGTTTTCCTTTTTTTTTTTTGCCCTTCAATGAGTCTTTAAGTGGCAACCTATTTTATTTTCGTCACAGCTACCATCACATTTGTTGCTTACGCTTTCTCTTTTTCTACAGTCCACTTCGTTTTTTGTAGATTTTTATCCCCGCGCCCGTGGCCCATGAAGTCCTTCCATCCTTCCGGGGTTGGCAAACTGGTAACCAGACTTCTGGGAGGATAACAGCACTGGCTCGACATACTAGTAGGCCACCGGGGGTCATTGTAAAGGCCAGATATGCATTTAATCACCTCAACACGATGAGTAATGAAGTCGAGTGCAAGACGCATCTCTCAGGGATTGATGAACGCCGAGAGCTTTATCCTTTATCCTTATCTATTAATTTTATTTCATTTCGTTTCTTAATCCGGTCATTTAGCATTAATATGAATACATTTTCGATCTCACTGCATTGTCCACCATACTTCTGGCATGTTTTTATTTAGGGCACTACTTAGATCACTTTTTAACCAAGTTTTTATCGTAGAATTTCGTTCAAATCACTAATAGGTCCTCGACTAGCCGGTTTAGCAGAATGGCACATTGTGAAATTTCTCAGGAAACTGGATTTTTTCTCACCATCCATATCAGAGTAATTCTAGAAGATAAATGTTGATGGTTCAAACCTAAATTTGTTCTCTGAGTATTCATTTACTGTGACCCAGTCGTGAAATTATTTTTCTTACATACACTGGCGCAGTAGTTTTTGTGGCGCTTTTATACATTTTCCTAAACTATGTAAATCCGTAAAGTAACAAACTTTTTCACCTTTGCTGACAAAAATCTATACTAAAAATTTCATCATATGAAAATGTAGTTGGAATTCTAAGTGAAGTCACTAACGTGAAGAATCTGTTCTGTTTCACTTACCAAGCTACGATTCCGGATTCTTGTGAACATTTCTACAGTAATCCATGAAATTCGTTATCAGTTCATCATTCGAACACCAAAAATGACTCTGTCACAGTCCATTATTGATAAAGATATCTTGCTTTTTCTATGAGGACTATATCTTTCTCCATTAAGACAAATCTTTCAATAATCTTCATAAATGTTATATTTTATGCGTATTTAATTAGTCCTAGGACCCGCATGACGTGAAAGAATGAGTCATCTAAGTAGATAGATATCTGAGTATTTATTGAAAACAAAGTCTTGATTGATGGGGATTTCTTTAAAGCGTGAAGATTCTCGATTTCACCTACAGGAACGGACCTTTTGAAACCATTTTCCGTGTAAAAGTGATTTCATGCCGTCTTTTGTAACTGTACTCATTGTTAACGGAAATTTTGCTAATCCGTTGATATCATGTCCTAATTTTCAATGACAGTGCTTCTTTTCTAATTGACACTATAATCGGTCAAGTTTTCTTCTTTCTTCCTCTTCTCAGGATGAGGTTAATCGAAGAATGCGTGGCTTACACGTTGTCTGTTTCTTTACTTCCCGTAGGCCGCATGTTGTAGATCGTTTTATGAGATTTCAGACGACCTAAGGTATTGTAGTCATGGAGTAATACAACAAATAGTCGCATTTAGATAGTTGAGGAAGGCGTATCGTTTTTTGAATACAGCTCTTTAGGAAATAAGGAATACTAGGAAAAAGATGAATATCCTTTGTTAACGGCTCTGTCCGAGTAAACTAAATACTTTGGTTAACCACTGTGGATTCAGATTCTGGCTGTATTCATGATTTGCACAGTTATGTCCGTAAAAAGATTTGAATATTTTAGACGCTCTTTAAGTTTTCAGTTTTTTTCGAGCTTGTTATTTTTTCCTGCTCAGAAGTATTCGTTCGTACTTTGTATAGATTTATTACCACCAGTGTGATTTAAGAGAAATGATTTCATTTAACGCTTTTTTCTTTTTCTCTACAAGCCTTCCTCTCCCTTTCTCCGTTCTTCTACTCTTTTCCTTTCGTTTTGTATCTCTGTCTTCCTCGCTCATTTGACAGGATTCTAAACTTACATATCATATATAAATTGCTATTAATATTACTATATTATTATATATAATCACTACAATATTAAGTTTTATTTAAATTACTATATGCTAAAGTATTATTAGTATAGTAGTACTATTTAAAGTAATGTTACTATATCACAATATTGTATAACTTACATATTACCTATTATATATATATATATTATATTATAAACATATTATATAGTATGATTTTTTGCCCACAAGCTTTTTTACTTTTCATGGATGATTTAAGGAGTTGTTCAATCCAACTTTGTGTCACGAAATCTATTATTAATTCACTTCTCTTTCTCTCACTTCTTTACTCTCATCGGCTTTATCCTCATTTCAAAGACAGTTTTCTCTGACAATCTTCGATACCTACTTGTATACCTGGATGGCTCGTCTTCAACAGTTGTGTGGGCCTTAGCAGAATTTTCATTTGCTGGTTTGGCGTTCTCTGATAGTCACCCGTCTTAAGTCGAAGTTTTGTGTGATTAACTAAAAGTCGGTTAAATTTCACGTAAAGTATAACGACCGGCGAACAGCATTTCACTTTCGTCAGGGCTGTGTGGGCCATTCGTGCTGTGCTCCGTGCCAGTCGATTTTCCCAACACTCTCTTATTTTCCTTCAGTACAAGTGTACCCATGCTGCACTATAGTTAACATATTTCTACGAGAAACAGAACGTGAACAATAGGTTTTTTGAGATGCGGGTTTGTTTGAGAGCAACAGACATTTATTTAAAGTCGTTTAAGTATTGTTAGTCGTGGATTGGTTCCCAACTCTAAAGTAAGAGCTGCGTGGGCAGTTAGTCTTCACCAGGTAGTATGGCCTTGGACCATATTATCCGGTACGTCGTTTCAGTTGCTTTTCTGCGCGTTAAATGCAACTCAGGGACCAGTGGCTGACCACCTCGTCGTGACTACAGTGTGTTCTTGAGTATAACGCTACGATCTACAACGGAAGGTTCCCAGTAGGATTTCGTAAGGCGAGAAAAAGTTTGATATTTCCATCTTTAGGACCAGGAATGCAAAAAACATTTCCAGAAATCATTAACAGCTTGACAACGGGATTGTTGTTGGCTGGTAAGTGGTTACCACCTAAGAAAGCTCTAGCACATCTTTCAAAGGTACAAAGAAAGAAGGTATTACCTAACCAGCAGTGGAAGAGGAATAGAATGGAAATAGGCTGGGACCTTTACGATTCATAAACACGTGACATTCACGTATTTACATAAGCATATACAACTTTAGGTCTTTATACGATGCGGCAATGTTGTACTACTGCTTTCCTTTTTCTGAACATATGAACTGTTAAAATGTTGAGGTAAATCTGGTCATTACTGTATGTGAACTAGTATCATTACAACGTTCTTCTTCTTTTGTTCGTTCACAAATAGTTCGTGAGAAGCGTCTAAAGTATAGTTGTCAGATGAATCAAAGAATGCATGAATTAGCAATCTCATCTACGTTATTTGCTGCTACGCTTGGTGTTTTTGAATATAATAAGACTTTCGATAAGTAATCAAGTTTTTTGATCGTAGTACTGTGAGCCGTCCGTGGAGACATTGGTGCCAAGCGGTGTCTGCCTGTGCTCGAGCAAATCCAGGTGCTCTCACGTGATCTCTGCTTGCTTACTTTACATTCTTTGCCTAAAAACATGAACATTGTCGCAGAAGCGATAAGAAGGGACCAACTTATTAGCATTATTAGGGATAAACGATTAATAACTTAGGGATAACGAAGATATTTTTGTCATAATGTTTGTGTTGTAGTGCAGTCGTCATGCTGACTGACCACCTAGAGGATGTTTAGATCTATTCAAATCTCGGCAATAAAATTCACGGCGATCATTTCTTAAATCCACAATTTAAAGTGCGGTTGTGGTAGCGTTGTTAATTGAAAGGTGGTACTACCTGTCGATTCATTCAATAATAGCGCACTGACCTCGGCCTTTTTCGTTTTAACGAACAACCATCGCAAGGTCAGGGCCAATTGCGTATTGAACTGAATTCGCGTAGACTTTAAAAAAGAGCTCTAACGCGTCATTTGCATCTATTCTACGCCATCAGTTGTTACATTAAACTTGTCTTTGAAAGTGATCCAGTAGGTTTTGCGAATAAATGAAGTGCTACCACCTTAACTGCATGAGATGTGCCTGAACTTCGCTGTAGTGATACCATCAATTAGTTTGTGCTTGTGTTTGTTATTCATTTCGATGACGCCCAACCTCGTTGCTCGTTGCCTTGAGGTGAATGTATCGCTGAATGGTGAACTATGTCTGATTCGTTTTTGAAAGGGCGAGTATCCATAGAAACTAGGATATCGGAAACTAGGATATAGGATACATACGGACCATAGCTATGACCATGACCAAATTATAAGAGATGCTAAACAATTAAGCGACAAGTCCACAGTTCTCAGGAACGTCATTGCGTTGCTGTAGCGTGTAACTGTAGTGTAACTCAAAGACATTTTCGTAATCACCTAGTATGAGTAATATGTCCGCGTTTTGAGCTGGTATTTGTGCAATTGTGCCCAAATGGCCAATCCAATATGGGGTAGGAGGGTGCGTAGAATCAGAGGTACACGAGAGGTAGTGCTAGCCCGATATGCTATTCGTATTGGACGCAGAGAGACAAAGATGGTGGTACGGCGTAGTGTTCCGTTCATCTGTCCGTCCGTCCGTCGGTCGGTGACGACGGCGATGACGGCGATGGCGGCGGCGACGGCCGGCGGACGGCGGCGGAGAGCCGCGGCCTGGTACGGACAGGCGGGCGGCCGCAACCCTTATTGCCTGTGCTGAACGCGCGCTCCCTTGCTAACATAGCTTCCTTTCGATGAAAGTTCTGCATGGCTAAGAGCCGATCGTTGTTCAACTTTAGAGGTAAGTAAGCGCACGATCTGAATCCACGTCGACTGACAGCCAAGCTCTCACATATCCAAGATTTTTCTTCGAACGATCGCAGCACAACACAGACGTAGCACAACATACGCTGAGATCTTTCTTACCTTACGCGTTACATGATTTTCTTCTATATTATGGCTTTATTTAACATATTCACTTAAGGAATATCTTATTTGGCATCCACACAGTGTGTCATATTATCTGGGTTTTGGGCAAGGAAATAAAGTATACTCTATTCATTTTATCCGTCGCTTTTCTCATAATAATTGCGATTTCAGAGGAGGGGCTTGGAGACCCGCTTGGTGAATTTAGCAATCTATCTTCTTTCAATTTGCTCGAATTCGTTCATAACGACAAGTGGGTCTTTTTTACATAGTATTTATTTTTTTTACATTGAATTAGTCCGTTTTTGATCATTTCGTTATTTCCTTGATAATGAAAAAAGTGACTATTTCTTTGGGAATTTTTTGCAAGGTTCTTAATATTTGCCATTGTATGGATTTTTGCTTCGTTGTTAGACATTCAGATTCTCACAGTACTCTTACAAGGGTCGGCTCATTTATTTACTCATAGGTGCACACATACTGCGACCAGCAGTCAGTGTTAGCCTTAGGAATCGATTTTTACTTGGGTTCTTTTTTTCATATATTTTCATTTCGTCGTTCTCATATTTGGATTGGCAAGTAGTGGATGTGAAGAAAATTTGGATATAGTTGTGTTGTAGTCAGAACCGATATCTTTTGAGATTTTCTTTTCTTGCTTCTTTTGAGATGTTCTTTCTCAATTGTTTCGAGGCTCTCTTTCTCTGTGGGTTTCCAGGTTTTAGGAAATTTGTTGCAGAGTGTCGTATGTGATGTTTCTCCGAATATAATACGGATTTCGCTGTTTTGTAAACGTATGATAGTTGAGTCTAATAGGTCAATGCAGTTGTACTAACCGCTCTATCTGGTGCTAGCCTAAAAAACGATCCCCCGAAATTGAAGTGTGACGTCGGGAAAAAAATAAACGCCAAGGGTGCGGACGTTTGAAACAGTGTTCATTCCGCCATTGGTTACCGCGCTTCGCTGTTTTTCCTTCGCCTCTCTCAACACTTTTTTTCTCTTCGTCAATTCCTCAATCCTCGAACACAGTATGGGAAAAAAACGGCCGGCTGTGGCGTGCTATGTGGGCCACACATGTCTATTACGAAATCCTATGAAACTGTTCCCATATCGCGAGCCTTGCTGGAGACCTTGACCCATTCGTTCGCAATCGAGTTCCTATGTGTACAGAAACATAACTGAAAAATTTTCATTGATACATCAGATTTCTTGTTATTTTAGCACACCACTGGATAGCCCTGATCCTTCTCGTAACGTGAATCATTCGAATAACGACAGAAACGTGCAAGGAGTTGGAAATAATTCACAGCATAATTCACACGCTATGTTTCAGGTAGTTGTTCTTAAATTCTTATTGAACAAAATAAAATAACATGTTTTTGTTCGTCTAAATCGTATAAAGAGGAGTGGGAGCGTGTGGTTAGACGTGCCGTTCAACGACACGCGCAAAATCACTGCTACGACCCCACAACGGAGCAAACAAGCTTGCCATACCTACGAGGTCGAGTAAGTGGTACCAGATTTGAAGAATTTCTTCGGTCTCACAAAGGCGTAAACTGCCTGTGGAGAATACCTGTGGGTGATACAACATAGCTCGCCCAGGTTTCTATGAAGAATCTACTCGACCAGCATTCAACGCCATTCATGAATAGGGCAAGGTCTTCAGGTGGCAGCCAATTTCACGTGCAAAACCCGAATTCTGTTCTGGAAGAGGGGCGCGAACAAATGAATCAAATTAAAAGAGTGCTAGACTTCGCACAATATTTGATGTCGGGTCATGTAAATGAGTGAAATAAAAAATGTATTCATCGTATATGTAAATTATTAGCAGAATACGGACTTCTGTTTCATAAAATATATACAAAAACGAATAGCTTTACTGGAACATATTCAAAATGCTATGAAATCGTTGAGATGTAATGAGTTCTTCAGAATGCAACCCGTTTACCGGAATCACCGCCGATAACTGATATTTCCGGTGCTGGATCGTCGGGTTCTCCAGAAAGCAATTCGGATGCCCCGTATTCTCCAGAAAATTATCCAAACTACGTCGGTATGTATATAAGTATCCCTTTTTTAAAACAAGCTACCCATTCATCTTCTCTGTTGCAATCTGTCCATCATCATATTCATCGCGTTTCATTACTGCCTATCATTCGGTCATTCTTTGAATTCTTTAGTTTATAATCCTTTTCGTCAAATTCAAAACTACACCGCATTGCTTTTTTGGCATTTTTTTAAAACGTAAACATCACTATTGGATTTTCTAAGGTGGTGGCTTCATTGCTCATATTGTGAATGTTTCTGTACAGAATAGATTATTTTTCAAACAGGGTTCTTGTTTTTCGAAACCATCAAGAAGGGCAAATGCGGGAAATTTTTGTGTTTAGACGCCTACTCATTTAGTTTAAGACCAAAGCAGGTATTACAACCTGTGCTTCATCATTTCCAAAGCACGTCGTTATCGTGCTTGTTTCTTAGCGGCCGTTTAAAAATTCATTCACTTATCGTGGTGAATTGTGTAATGTGGCAAGAGTCACATATTCAATGCGGACTTTTTGTCTGACCTGGCTCAAACACCTAGACCACTAAATTTCTAAATTTTTACTTCTAAATCTTTATCCTAAAGGCATTCGTTTATTTTATAAAAGCTGGAAAACTAGGTGTAAATCAAGTTTATATAGTAATGGATAGTGATATGTTCCAGTGTAAGATATCGTACGTGTAAATGTTCACGTATTTGCCCACAGAAGGGTCGTGACTTTGGGGCTTGTCCAATGTGGTGCGCAGTTATGCTGCAAGCACGATGGACCTGTAGAAGTTTTGCGTATCACGGATATGCTAATTACGCTCTTCATTATTTCTGTTAACGAATGAACTGAACTACGCTTTTCGACGAGCGTACTTTACTAAACTCAGATGAACGTCATGCGACATATGTTTAGAATTAGGTTAATGAGCTACCTAGACGTACTGTGAAACTAAGCTGTGCCATTGGCTTTACTTAAATCATGAATATTCATGTGTATTTATTGAAATTAAGTTCATACGAAAACCCTTCTTTCTTAGCATTTTACATCAACTGAACAGCCAGTTCTGTATCGTCTCTTTTCCTCTGTTCTTTGCTTTATCTATGTTGTATGTGTTACATAAAAAGATCCAATTGAATTAGGGGAAGTTTTCATATTTTAGAACAACGATAGCTTGTTATTTTCTGATTATTTCTTCAAAAAGTTTGTTCTTGCAACTTTCCTTGATTTTTGAACGTTATTTCAGGAATCCATGGAAATCTGAACAACAACGGTCTTATTCTTGGAGTACCGGGGATGATGGCGCACGAGCTTCATCAGCCGTCTCATGGCCCTGTTGCTCATACGATAACATCGCCTCAAAACGCCTGTTTCATGAGTCCGTATCCACCCAGTCAACCGACTCCAGGCAGTCTGCCACAGGTGCTGATGAGTTTCGGGCCTTAAAATACTTTAGTACCTTTGTTTTATTATAATCATTTAGAAACATTCGATCTGACCAGTAGTAAAATTGAAAAGTCATTAGGAGTCTGAACAGTGTTTGGTTTTGGGAGTTTCAAAGGATGGTACAATAGTCTAAGTGTTTACACATAAGAGCTCTTCAAGTAATTTAGCCATCGCAAATGGTTGCCACAACAGTGAAAAGTATGGAGTCTCTTAAGAAGAATGCTCTCAGAAAATGTTTTGCACCGTTGGTTTTGTAAGGTAACATTAATACTTCTTCAGGTATCGCCACCTGTTTCAAATAGTTGTCATGATAACCAACAATACATTGTGAATAATGGATACAGTGCTGGACTCTTCAACATTCTTAATGTGTCCAGCGAGGCTAGTGTCAATAGCCAAGCAGGTGATGTGCCAAGGTAATATCAGATGTTTCATTAAATATTTGATTGGTGGCACTACTTATTGAACGTTGTCGAACATGTTGGTGCCAAATTCCTTCAGCAATATTTAAAAATATAAATCTAGAAAACGCCCACGACCCGAAAATCAACTGCTGGATCCACCAAAGTTCTTGCCCACATTTTCTAGTGTCGGTCAAGCACCTGTACCTGCCAGTCCTATTGATTGCTCATATCAGGACGAAAACTTCTCGCAGCAGGTGATTTTCTTTAATGAAAATGTGGATTTTTAACAAGGCCGTTTACTATTTTTCCTGTTGAAGGTGATCAAGTTTTCGACGTTCCAAGAAGAACTATGGAATCCACTCTATGATATCAACCACCAACAACTCACTAAACTGAAGATATGCGTCGTCGCCGACAAAGGATTCAATTATTCGAATTCGGATGGTTGTTTCGTGAATCAGAAGAAGAACCACTTTCAAGTATGCTGGTATTTTTTATTGAAATTGTCTGATTCTACATTTTGTTGTCTAGTATTTAAAGACCGGCTCACACTACTTGTCATAGATTTCGGTGAACATCGAAGCGAAAGATGAAAATCCGCCGAAGTTCGTAAAAGTAAACGGTGTGATGCATCCCATCAAAGCGATCAAATTGGCATTCTGTGGCGTGAAGGCAGAAATGCTGTCATCTGAAATTCAGATTAAGCAGTCGCAAACCGATCGGAAACCAATACCTCATGATCCAGTAATGTAAGTGTTCTGTGCTCCTTTATTTTTGCAGATCCACTAAAAAATAAAAATCCACTAAAGTTTGAAAAATAGTGGTGGAAAATCTACTTATGACTGTTCTTATGTTTAGAGAGAATAAGTGCATAAATCGACTTCGATATCATAAATGAAATGAATAGTGTGGAATATTATAAGAGAATTTTAATGCTCCCTTTTGTTTCAGCTTAAACATTCACGCTCGTGAAATCACTAAAGTGACCGTTCCACGACTACACTTTTCGGAAACCACGCTTAATAACCAAAGAAAGAACAACCGACCCAACCCAGACCAGAAGTATTTCCTACTTGTTGTGCGCCTGCTTGCCTGCACCGATGAAGGCGTTGCACTCATTCAAGCACAGCAATCCGAGAAAGTCATTGTTCGAGTAGGTTCACGCTATTCATAGTTTTTGTGTATAAAGTCTTTACCACTTGCTATGGAATTGGGCATACATGTGTTAACCATATCATTTTCTGGTCTACAAACTTTTATACTGGTGGTAAAAAGCAATCCACTGATGACAGTAGCTTTATTCCTCGTTTGTCACACTGCTCTACTGTGTCCAAAATTTGGCCGACGCTTCATGTAATAGATTTCTTCTCCAGGGTCAGAAATTGAAGATTTCTGACGTACTGGGACTCCTTAAATGGCAACTACTTTATATTAAAGAAATGGATGCCATCACGAAACAGCAGAGACTTCCATTGACACATTCGATGGAGAGAAATGATTGTAGTTTTGTATTGTTCATTATGAGCACGACTTTTGCACTACTATCGCTAAATTTCGTGGTTTAGGCTTCGTTGTTGAATTCTTTATATCTACAGAAAACATTTCTTTTTTGATTTCTTTTTTCTTTTGCATATTCCTTAATTATGGTTCTCATCATTGTCAAGTTCGTGGTTGGGACTACTATTTTGTAATATAAAAACTTTGAACTACCTGATAGAAATTCTGGGTGGACTTTTCCTTGTGCGTTATTCTTCAGTCCAGGTTTCATATTTTCGAGCATTGCATCAATTTGCAGCTGATAGCAGATCCTTGTCTTTTTTTTGAAATCCTGCGCGAACACTTATCTGTTTGTGAAGTTCACTGTTTACTTGTTTGGACTTTCTGGCAGTATACATGGATCAATCCTTTTGTGCGTATAGTCATCTCGATAGAACGACGAGTATTTTGAATTGAGTTAGAAACACTGATTTCACTGAATCATTCGAAAACCGCTGCTCCATCACTGGTCATACCAACGTGGTTTTCTTTTTGGAATCGCCAGAGATGGCTGAATCATATGGGTACCTTCAATCTCACCCTCCAATTCGACTTTTGCTCTAAGTTAATCTTCCTCGGAACTGCCAGATACTTGTGAAGTTAGCAGTGAATCCTTTGTCGCCAGTGACTTGGTTATAGTCACTGACAAGGTCACTATATCTGTTCGCCAATGGCGGATGCTAAAATAAAAACTGTTTGTGTTGTTGGATATCTCTATAGATTTTTCCACATGGATGTCTTGTTCAGGCAACGAATCCTGGATCGTTCGAGCCACCCGAAAGTGATGTACAGTGGTATCGTAACGGAGGTACATTGGTCTGTCACGGGCCGGTTGCTATTGGTACCGATCGCACCGCAGCTAAGCTCACTGTTGATGGTGATATTTACATTACTGGACAAGTTAGTGTGATACAAAGCAGCAACAAATTGATATCTGCTTCCTTGCTAGATTTACTTAATTATTGGTTTGTTTAGGTCACACGTCCATCAGATATTCGCCTCAAGGAGGATATTGTTGAGAAGACATCTCGTGATGCTTTAGAGCATCTGCAACAGCTTCGGATTGTTGACTTCCGTTATAAGCCTGAAGTGGCTGACCTTTGGGGATTGACTGAAGAGCAACGGCGACGAACTGGTCTCATCGCACAAGAATTACAAGCTGTATGCAGTCATTATTTGCGATGCAATGATTTGGCCGATTTTTGATAGGTCTACTTTGAAATCCATATGTTTCAGGTATTACCTGATGCTGTGCGAGATATTGGTACCCATTTAACTATTGACGAATCACGTATCTTCTATGAGACCGTGTTAGCTATGCAGGAGTTGTGCAGGCTAACTGGAGATCTCGACACGAAGATCGATGATAAGGTGAAGGACGACTGTTTCTGTTTATATGGAATTTTTCCGCTTATGCTAAGCCTTGTTCTATACTGAGGTTATAAATTCGTCAAAATCTAGCTAGTTTAAGGTTGAGGAAATTAGCCAACGTCTTGCACGCTATGCTAGAAGAAAGAAGCTTATCGGTTCGATTGCTTCGAATCTCAGTGAACAGTCATCAGGCATCGTTAGTGACAATAAAAGTTGTTTGTCCTATTCGAGAACTTCACTCGCATCCACAGCTCCGTCGATTACAAAGGAGAGTCATGAACGACGCAAGGTAGAACCGTTTAAAATCGTGGAAACTTTACAGTGTTATTTTTTGCGCTGCGTCAGCTATTAGCTTTACTCAGTCATTGTTATCTGCCACCTTAAGTTCGTACGGCTTTCTAATCTCTGAAATCCATCAAAAAGCTAATGGCGTGCTGAAACTGTGCCGATATTTTTCTATCACTCCAATGAGATAATTAGAATTTATATACTTTCACTGTTTCCTTTTAGATTTAAATTTACGAGCGGTAATGAAACGAAGCGCTTTCTGGTGAGAATTGCTCTCAATATTTTCGTAATTTAATCGAAATTTCTTTTTTAGGCTCGCACGTGCCGTTCTCACTGTCATAGACCAGAACCTACTTGCCATTCGAAGTTAACGCAAGGCACCATAATCGCGTTAGTGGCGGTGATGGCTGTTTGTCTTATCGCTATGTCCGCTCTCTATGTTCTTGACTGGCACAATCGTAACTACGGTTATCATCATCTCTATCCACCAAACGTCACTCCACCCGCGAAATCCGGCTATTCTACAGAAGGTGTCGGGCATATGATATACCAAATCGGTATTTAATTTTCCGGACCTAATAATAATAATAATCTATCTTATAATGATAATTTATAGTGGGTTTAGACCATCCGTATCTACCCATGTTGCAACCAGATGCACCTCCGCTTATGCCGAAATGTCGCTCGAGTTATTGCTACATGTATTGTTGTGCAGATCGTGCCAAATATCATACTGGTACAAGAGTGACCGAGGTTGGTCAGCAAAGGGATTTAGAAGTCCTAGGCAACGAATCGTTTTTAATTTAGATGGACACGATCGTTACACTAGGTGGACAAACAAAGAATATGGTGGCGAGAAGTGCACCGAATAGTTCAGCAGGAAAACCGCTTGGAACGGGTGTACAAATCACCATACCCAGTCTAAATGTTACAATAGACAATCGTTATTGTATCGAGCAGAGCTGTAATAAGAAACGTGGCCGCTTCAACATGTACATTCCGGTATCACCGTATTTGCCAACGCTTCCCATTGAAATCGTATTCTTGTGAGTACTAGTTCTTCGTTTAGCTTTTGTTGGATATTCTAACAAAACCGATCTTTTTTGTTGCCGACTAGTTCAGATATGAGTACTTTCAGAGTGCCAGATGGTAAACTCATCAACAACTGTGGGTATTTGGCCGATTTTCAGCACAAACATTGTGCCTTTGATAATGAGAATTTCAAAGCGGAGCGTCTGAGAAATCCGATGGCAAATCAGGTATGGCTATTCTCCATGCATATACATATTCAGTAATTTTCAATTTTAAATCACAGGTCACTGATGACACGTTTGAACTCTCTGTGGGCAGTTATCTTCAGTCGGCTTATCGCTTCCGTATTGGATTCACAACGGAGTCATGCTTTTCTAGTGAGGATCATCTTCACGGAGGTTTTGAAGAGTACAATCTAATTTTTTATCGTACATGTGCACCTCCGGCCACTGCCACTGATGCGCCTCCTGTATGAACTGGTAAATATCACGTAGATCGTCAATAGTATGCGTTATCAGTAGCGTCAATTTGCTGCGGTACACTCATTATCCAATGAAGGAGCGGATCAGTAGCTTCAAGGGAACTGATAGCGTGCTATTCAAGAGATTTTAATAATCATCTCTAGCTTTCTGCGCAATATCAACTCAGTATTGTTGGGCATTGATATCTTGTAATTGTATTTTATTGTTTGGTTGTATAACATGTTTTCTTATTTTTTTAGTACTGGTTCTATGTACCGATGCAATGCTATGAGCCAAATTGTCAAGTTTGTATGTGATATTCTAGTTGAGAATCCAGACCCAAATTTTGTTATCGTTATCTCGGGATCCCTTACGAGTTCACTCACCATTCTGCAGGCCCCTATTAATATTGTTTTCGGAAAACGCTGACTTAAATTAGTTTGAAGATAAAAGAAGGCTCTAAATGCATTTGATGCTTATCATTGTTAGCAAGCACTTCTCAAACCGTACTCTCTTTCTCTTTATCTTATTCTCCCTCATATTTTTGTGTTGTACTTTCCACGTTAATTCATAATTTTTAAAATGTCTAAATTACTCTGTACCTCTTTGGAGTCACATACGATAACCTTCTTTCATTTTTTTCAACATCGTTAACAGCTACCATTCAGCATACAAACTTTCGATAAGCAGTTTCTCTTTGTACTCACCTATGACTGCCACCATCGAACCCACCTCGTTTACTTTAGGAGAAAAAAGCCCTTATTTGTGTCAATATTTTTTCTTCTTACTCTCAATAAGTAGTAACCATCAAATGAACGTCGTTAAGTGGACCAGAAATGTGTGCAATTTTCCCTAAACGTAGTTTGTTGGAACAGTCTGTGTGTGCTCTTTTCTTTCATTTTTTTAAAGTGAATTTTTACGTGTACGTGACGCTCTCAGACGACATTGTTTCTTCCTACTCCCCTATCGCTTTCCAGTCATTTTTCATCACCTTTCAATGCTGTATTTATTCTCATATCCAGGCAATCAACATGTGCACCATTCATTCATCACCGCTTGTACACAATTTGGTGACACATTCTGCTTCTTTTTCAGGTGTCAACTATTCCTTTCAATTGTAACGTCGATCTTAACTTGTAACGCTAATAATAAAACAAGCAGTAATACTTGACAAATATTTTATCCTGGTAATATGGTATACAGAGAGGACATGGATTCAATAATTTGTCGATCTGTCTTACATACGGTAAAGAAATCTTCCTTCGAAATGCGTCCCCGCTTGCCAATATCAAATTTCTGGAAATTGAACTATTTGCTTTTGAAAGAGAATGCCAGCTTTGTATTCTGACACAAAATATATTTATTAGGCCCTGGACAGGGTCGTTTTGCCAAGGCAAAAGCTGAGCCTATAGCGGCTCGGTCTGTTCTAGTCATTTAAAAGCTCTAAGGGTAAATGACAAAGCGTTTGATGTTGACATCTATCTAAAGTCTGAGCTAGCTTTCTACTTCATCAGGCAATGCAGAAATGAGTGAATGTATATTTGGCCTGTACAATGACTTACAGGGGCCTACCAATTCGTCAGCTCGGTATTTTTTATATAATGCGAAAGTTAGGTACTAATTTTCCAACCTTGGAGAGGACGGAGTACTGGTTACCACTGGAAACTAGATTCAACCAACGATCCTTTGTGTTATGCGGGGCGCCTGACAACTGCAAATACGAGCCTAGCAGAGCTGTAAAATAGCAATGAGCTTCCATCAAATTGTACTGAAGGGTTTGCAAATGAGCTGTTTCATTGGTGATTTCTACATATATATTAACTAACGATTAGGATACGTATAGCGCAGTGGTTAGAGGCGCCCGGCAATACACATGGATTTAATCCGGCGGCACAGGCTCACCAAGCCTTCTATCCCTCCTGGATCGGTGAATTGGTGCCACACTTGTCTGGGAAGATAGAAGCACTGACTCCATATGTTGATAGGCCACAACAAGTCACTGTAGAGGCCAGGTATGACATCGGTCACCTCTAACGAATCAATGAAGTCGAATGGATAGCGCATTTCCGAGAAACGCATCAACGCCAAAAGCTTCATCCTTTTATTAAGTAAGCCCATGCTCGCTCATCTAGACATAAAACCATGGCTGATTTTAAACGGAACATTTGGAGAGAACTTCATAGTTGTAAAGGTTAACGATATCACCATCTCTTGTTGTACGAAATTCTGCTTATTCAAGCATCACTGCTTGAAATACGACCTTTGAAGAGAGGAAAAAAAGCAAAAAAAGTCAATTTATAGCTTTTTTAACTTATTATTTACTACCTACTCTTTTTAACGGCAGGGTATTGTGAAATGAAAGGGTATCATTGTGAAATATAACTTCGATGGTGCTGAGATATTTGCAAAACTCCGGACGGCAGGTGTATGCGGTGGGTAACGAATTGCTGATTGCTGATGGCAAAAGATCGATAGAACTAGCTGAGAGACAGGCGAAACGAAAGACTCACGTGGTGTGGTGGTGAACGCGCTACTCCCCGGAAACGACAATAGCGTTCGTTCCCCACCGCATACACCTGCGGTCAGGATTTTTGCAAATATCTCAGCACCATTCAATTTATAGGAGTGTCTTGTCATCACGCGTGACCTAGCGCCATACCTCAGGCTGATCCAATGATCTGACATGGACCCAGTTATCGACCATGTATTACTCTGTGCGGCGGCTATCCACCAACTAACTTAAATACTTACGACAAATAAACGGTAGGTGTTTGAATGAAGCTATTTCTTATGCGAATACAAATCGATTTATCAAGTTTTATCTGCTGGGGTTATGAAAGTGTTTGGCTGAGTAGATCACATCTCAATTTGACCTTTCCAGGCTCTGAGGAAGGCGAAGCCGCCGAAACGTCAGCAATTGTGTTCTAATAAATTCTATACTAACAACCTCGTGTCTGCTTATTGATGAAAAACATTGAATATTCAATTTATAGTTTCCAGAACGTCAAACTTTTATCGTGTTGGAATATGAAGGTCTCTATTTTTGTTTTTAAAGTTACCATTGTTTTTTTTAAACGTAATTCAATGAAATTTTAGACGAATTGGCAACGGCGCTCACAGAGATAAATGAGCGATTTAATGTTTTCGACTACATATGGATTGAAGCCATTTCATATCCCTGCAATTGTTTTAAGCATTGCGAACCTGAAATACGTTGTGGGCATGTTGTGCTCTTTGTTCATTAGTTGGCATAGGTCGGGCATTCTTTCCTAAACAAAAGAGATGAAGGGAAATCATTGTGATTGACGTTTGAGTATTTCATACCCATCAAATCATCCATAGAGGTGATAACGTAGAACAGTCTTTGCCATGTTATTTCACCTTTACCCTTTGGATCGTAGAGTTTATAAAGCCATTCCAATTTCTCATCGACGGTTCCGCGACACAAGACTGATAACGCTTTCACGAATTCCTGTCATAGTAAATGTCCTTCACTTATTAGACGGACAGTATAATTCAAAACCAGATTGAAAAGCGTTTCTTTGCTCTCAAGCCTGTTTTTTAAAATTTTCAAACTTTCCCTGGAGAACGACATTCCTTGAAGTCAGAGCATATTCATTTATTCTTGAAAACCGCTAATTATTAGTGGGCGTGGATAGCGCAGTAGTAAGGATCTCGTTCAATATGCGTAACGTCGTGATTGAACCACACTTTGGGTCATCCAAGCCTCCCACCTCTTCAGGGTCGGAGGCTTGGTGTCAGGCTTGCCTGGAAGGCTCCTTAGTTGATAAACAGTGGTGAGTGCCTATGGTGTGGAGGCTTGAGCACGCCAAATCACTTTTAACACTCGAGGACACATAAGAGAATCGACTGGGCTAACTTTCAACGACATTCATAGAGAAGACCGAAATCCTCAGGCTGCAGGTGAACCCATGCGCCAATATGATGACTTTTGTTAGCGATATAACCTGAGGCAGGGAATCGAGTGGAGGAAGTGATGGGATCTGCACAGTATGTGATGTACGGTCATATGAAAATGAGAAAAATCAATCATAAGTATTTTGAATTCTGGATTGGTCAAATCATTGAAGTATTATGATGCAGTTGTTTTCACAACAACGCTTGATTTTTTGCATTTAAAAGTTGGAAGGAAACAATTTAATTGAGATGAGGAAAGGTCTTTTTGAGCAGAATGATTCTTCTATACTGGGGTTGCTCTGATTTTTGTAAACAGTTACTTTTGTTTCGTTTACGTGAGATAGCAGTACTTTTTTTTTGCTAAAAATTTCGCTAAGGATCAGTTAACACTCTCGCGACGACGCCTAAATTTTGCTTTTCTTTGGAGTGAGCCACAGCTAATTTTTCGCTGTGCTCACGATGACACCCAGCGATGTCATAGCAGCCATCTGGTAGTTTCTACGTAGTCCCTCCTCCTATTCTTGCGATTCCGTTCTATGGATCGGTCTTCATCTGCGTTTTGGGAGAACTTCCTCGCTTCTCTTACCCGGTGTATGTTTGATGTTCTTCTGAACACCGTCCGATGTTTTTTTTTGTGGATATACAACTTTTGTTTACGAAGAAAACATTCGTCCCACTATGCAATCGTACTTCTGTTAGCATTCATGTGGTTTTGATATCACACCATTCCAAACGTAACCAAAAGTCAATAATTGATTGAAAATTAGGAAGCAATGAATTACCCTCAAAAATGATGCTACATAGTGTGGCGCAGTCTTTCCTGCGCTTCTTCGCCGACCACACTCTCAAGTTCTCTGTTCTCCGCATGTTCTCTTCAACAGCAGTATTCTGTTTCCGCAAAATGACTAATTGGTGAGAAATTGTTAAGAAGACATCCTCTCATAAAAGGCGCTTGCTGTAGCATCTGCGTTGGATAAACTATCGATTTATTACAAAAAGTATAAGACAAATGCGCATGAAAATAAACCACCAAAAAGGAAATGACACCTACAAATGTCCCAATAACTACTTCCGTAGAACCTCTATAACACGTACTAGGTGGCATTCGTCGCTTGAGTGTTAACAGTTAAAGGCTTTAAGGGGATAGATGGTGCTTAATCTTGAGAGCATAAAAGTTTCTTCCCTCTCTCTCTCTCTGATGCGTTAGCGTTTGTGCTTGGAGAAGACAGAACGGAAGGAAAACGTTTCTGGAAATCAGTCATTCTAGTAAATAACTGAGTTCAGTGTATGTTGTTACTGTGATAACTTATTTCTGTAGGCTTTTCTTTCAGTTTCTCGTATATTTAAGCTCTTGCACTCTTTTTTTCACCTTTTAAATCAGAGCTAAATATTAAACAGGACTTCCAATGGCTGTTTACTTATTAGTGTTGTTCACCTATATCACTAGGAATTCTTAACAAATCTGTTGGCAAAAGAGAAGAGGAGTGAAAATAAAGGTTCAGTTGTGAGTGCTGAGTTAGCAGTTGATGAGCAGGAATTTACGACGTCGGTCCATTAAATAATTGTGTGAAAATGTGAAGATTTTTCCTCACAAAAAGCTGTAAGTGCAAGCCTGATTAGCTCAAATAAATCACTTGTAGTCTATGAAAATCCCTATTCAGGGATTATTCTTAATTTTCTCCACAAATTTTTCTATCGGATTTGACTTACTACATCGCTATCGATCGATTGGTGCTCTTATCACGAGATTTGGTGTTATCGTGGGAATCGCTGTAGTTCTGGAAGAGTCTGAATAGAAAGGCAGCGAAATTCCATCTGATCCAGAAACATCGTCAACAGCTTATACTGGAATTCTGACGACTGTGACAATTTTGCACTGCTATCTCTGCTTTCAGGGCGCATGTGGAGCAGTGGGTGGAGGCGCCACTGCGACACACGTGGAGTCGATCTCCGCACCCATGGCCCACCAAGTCTTCCATTTCACCGGCGTGGGCAAATTGGTACCAGACTTGTCTGTGAGGGTAGCAGCACTGGCTCGATACATTGATAGGCTACCGCCAGTAGTTGTAAAGCCCTGTTATGCATTCAATCGGCTCCAACGATACTTAATGAAGTCGAATGCATGGTGCATCCCTCAGAGATTGATCAACGCCGAAAGCTTTAAAGCTTTTATCTTTGCTTTTTACGGAAAATTAAGCTCGACTATCATTAAACATGCTGTTGAAGAGAGGGGGTAACAGACAACAGTTCAAAGTTTCAGCCAAAGGGAAATATGAGATCCGTCACCTCTATGGATTACGGTTGAAAGAAGCGAAACAAGAAGAAAAAGTGAAGGTGGATCATCTAAGTAACTCAGTAAGTAGGTAAGTGTGTAAGTAGGATCTTCATCTAAACGATGATTGTTGAAAGCCTAAAGAAAAAGCCATTCAGAATAAGCAATCTGTGCTCCTTTGCAAACATTTTACTACTAGTACTTGAATTAGTACAAACCTGAAAATTGATGGTCCCGTTGTTGTCGTTGTCAAAAGTGTCAAATAACAAGTCAGAGTAGTGTTCAATATTACCATGAGGAAATAATTCAGCAAATTTCTCTCGTAGAATAGCTGGAAAAGAATCGATCACCTCCAAACCAACAAAAAACTCTATTGTTCCCTGACATAAACAAGTATCAACACAGTTTTCATAATAAAATTAAAAGTAATCGTTAGGTTAATGAGCGTAGATCTGACCTTTATTGATAACCGCACTTGGTGAAGTTTCCTTGAAGGCTCGATATATCGAACGAATTTCATTTTTTGAGAAATGCGTCTCATTGACCACCTTAAGGTTTTTTTTCGTAGATATGTTACTAGAAATTTCAAAACCACAACCCGTCATGTCTCTTTTCCTCCCATTCAGTTCTAAATGTCGTCTTAAATGTGAGTTGTGCACTGAAGCGATCTTATTATAACGATTTACTTAACAACAGTAACAAAGAGGGTAAAAGTGGATTGGTTTGCCCACAAAGAAATCTATTCTGTGGTAAAAATTTTGGTAGTTGACCCTGAAAGAGTTTTTTCGATGCGTTATTAAAAAGATAATCAGCAGCCTTATGAAGTTAGTTTTGATAAGTCGCCCAATATACTTGGTACTCGATGCTTTAACGACCCATCCTCAATGGTTCTGTGGGCCACAGCATAATCATCATTTTTCGGAGATTTGCTGGCTGACCATTGTGGTTCACTGGAATCCCGAGGTTGCCCCGGCCAAAGTTTGCCCTAGGTCTTCACCACCACGGGCAATCGCAGACCTTGTGGATCAGGGGGAGATTTGCCACCATGCGACTTTGACACCAGGACGGTGGTGAGTCTTGGTATTGGTTTACTCTTAGCCAGACTTCCTGATAGAAGCATCGGACTTCTTCTCATCTTGGGAGACCCTGCAGGAGAGAGGAATCACCCCTGTGTACATCGCAGTTCGACACCCAAGAACACCTCCAAGTCATGATGAGGCGGTGAACAGTTGGAGGAATCTCAGGGAGAAAAATATGTGAATCGAAATTGCAGAAGCATTAGGTTGATTACCAGTCAGTGTAACTATTAGGGTGAAAAATAGCATTTTTATAAAATATGACGGTGACTAATAGTAGATAATAGATCTGAAGAGGAATCGGTTCTGGTATGGTCAAGAACGACGGCATTATTTAAGGCATTTGGAAAGCTCTGACATAAAAGTGAAAAAAAGTCGGAGAATGGTGGATTATTTATGGATAGACAGGAAGATTTTGAAGTAAAACGTTAATGGATCAATGGTTAACGTTTTGTTTTCTGCCTTCTATAATTTTCATGGCAGATTACTAAGCGAAATACAACCACAACGTTGCTGAGTTATTTGCAAAACTCTGGACGGCAGGTGTCTATGGTGGGGAACGAACGCGCTATTATCCTTTCCGGGGAGTAACGCGTTCACCACCACAGACACCTGCGGTCCAGAGTTTTGCAAATATCTCAGCAACGTTGTGATAATGGTTCAGTTAATTTGGATGAAAACCTAGAGAAACATTTGTCAATGTTACTTATGATTCAGAGCAGGAAACCGGAATCACTCTGTAGCTAGCTACTGCTATAGAGGCTATGTCAGGGGAATATTTCTCAATCCAGTGAATTCACGATTGAAGAAAGATAACAGTGTATCCGTTTTCGATTCATAAGGAATAGAAGGTTGTATTCTTCATTTTTCCTTTCCTGGTTATGTCACATGAAATCACAGGGTATTGAGGACAATAAATTCTAGTTGTATTAGTTATATATACAAATAGAACAGAGAATGCTAAACGCAGTATTGTACTACAGAAATCATGAAACGGCATCGAAAATCAGTAGAACACTGTGGGATAGCTTTAATTTATGACAAAATATCGTTTTGTACCTTGTCGAGTGAATTTTGTTGTCTACACATCGGATAGTTGTCGATGGATGTATGCGGCAAGAAACGTAAATATACTTTACGACTGTGAATCTTTGACGGAGGCATCAGTTGATATAGAGGCAGCTTAATCTGAGCGATAGCTTCTGCTCTAAGCTAATGATGTAAATAAATAGACGTCAGCATCGCGATGAAGAACAATGCGTTGATGTTGCTGATTATTACAACAATTTGCCAGCGCAAATCCACATCATATATCACAAAAACACACCCCGTGGATTTTCACATGGATGCTGTTACGGCTATGCTATATGATCGTTACATACACATGACAAATGAAGCCATGATGATGACGAGATGAAGAGATGACAAGACAGGAAATGACGAGTTCAACATACATCCATCATTCAGTTTTTTTTCTCTTCTTCTCCTTTTTATCAAAGTTTCTAGCTTTCATTACACCGTTTGACTAATTGACACATGTCTCTAGCTGCTTGCTCGCCGTTCTCACCTGCTGTAAACTAGTTGGTCGAAAGGCTTTTAGATGAACTGATGACGAAACAGTGACGTGATTTCTAGTGTCGCAAATATCTGAAATAAAACAGCCGAATGCAGTTCAGAGTAAAGTCGAAATAACTTATAAAGGTTTTATAGACTGACTTCAAAATGTGTCGCTTTTCCTAATTTTTTTCCACAATTGGTCACAAATATGGGAGGTTTGGAGAAAGAAGGTGTCACTAGCTTCTACAGGTCTATGGTGCATTCGACATTAAATCTCGCACGCGAATGGCTATGCAAACGCCAACATCCCAACTAACGTTTAGACGTACACACATACATCCACCCATCCATCCATACATACATACATACATACATACATACATACATACATACATACATACATACATACATACATACATACAAACATACATGCATACATACATACAAACACACATGCATACATACATACAAACATACATGCATACATACATACATACATACATACATACATACATACATACAAACAAACAAACATGCATACATACATACAAACATACATGCATGCATACATACATACATACATAGATGCATACATACATACATACATACATGCATGCATACATACATACATACATACATACATACATACATACATACATACATACATTCATACATACATACATACATACATACGCGTACGTATGTACACATACATACACACGCAGATGCATAAGTACATACATAAGCATATACATGCGCGTGTACCTAGGCACCTTCATACACATGCATATATATACATAATTATATTGGAACACATATTTTCCTTGATCACATTTTCAAAATCAAACAAAAATTTTTTCGAAAGCTCATTTCAAAGCATTTTTCATGTTTTTTCATTATGGTGTTTTGTAAGAGAAAGCTCTTGGTCCTCGTAGCTGCTTATGTCGCGATCAACGTTGGTAATAAATAGTTTCTCTGTCCTAAAGTATGGTGTGTGATCACAACAGCTTTGAAAGATTTGAGTTTGCCTGGACAAATCGGGCTTCTTAGGAAATTAAGCCGTGTGTAGTGCATCATTCTTTAAGGTGAGCAGTACTATCATCAGAAATCGTCAATCAGTTTAACTGGGAACATTCTGAAAACTACGAGTCCTAATTGAGCATTTTCATACTGCCAGCCGACATAGCACAGTACCAGCTTTAAAAAGTTGTGCTAAGTAACTCCTAATAGAAAAATTCCTGCTAAATCACCTCAAAATCCATTTATGTCACATCTACACCAGTCAAAGGACTTTCATTCTGATAAATACATAATATTGATCAGGATAGGAAACCGAATAATTTTATTATACCTTCAGAGCTCGGTAGAGAAGAAATCTTACCTCACTTCATTTACTACTTGACACAGCTTCTTTTTTGTTCACAGATTTATGATTTTCTGATATGATTGAGGAGAAAGTCATATCATAGGTGAAGTTTTTGTTGGCTTAGGCTTAGCAGTCTGTCCCGTTCGCAAAAGGATTAAAAAGCCTGCGCAACAGCAATAAATTTGGCTTTGTGGTGCAAAGAGGTAAATTATTAAAGAAGCCTCAGTACTAGGATTAGGCTAACCACAGAGTTCGATTATTTGCAAGCTATTATGAAAAAAACTACTCAGTAATGAAATTAAGAAGTGCTGAAGAAAAGATACTGATCGATATTCCTGAAAAATGTTTTGTATTTGCAACCACTCACCAATAATTGGAATATCAAACTCATCGGCTACTGGAATTGTAATTGCTGCTTTCCGTTTTATCACACTCATTTCTAACGACTTTCCTAATACCCGCAATTAATACCTATCTCCTGAAAAGGTCCTTTCAAATCTAAAAAACTGCTAAGGATTGAAATATGCGAGGAAACAAGAGGTTATTGGTGGGAATATAGTGAGTGAAACAGTTGATGAGTGGTTTGATAGTGACAATGATTCAAATGTGGAGTTGAGGAGACTCACTTGGTTCTCTGCACACCAAATGGTGACAGTGGTTGTTTTGTTATCGGAGAGAGTTAGACGAAATGAAAATGACATGAAAAAGACCGGAGAGAAGAGAATGGGGAATCAGATGATGGTGTCATAAATTACGATTGACTTGAGGAAATAGTTGTTGAATCAAAAAGAAGAAGAAAGATCACACGCACACACACACACACACACACACACACACACACACACACACACACACACACACACACACACACACAAACACACACAAACACACACACACAGACACACATACATATATATATTTATATATGTACGAGGAATAACAAGAACACAACGCCGACTTATCACCTTTGAAGTGAAAGCCGTGAAAATATTTTTCGTCTAGCTTTTTCTTAAATATGTCAGTCAGTGTCACTTTTATTCACTTAGAAATCCTATTCAGTATTTAAGTCCTGGAGCCGAAAACAGATTTTTCCATAAATGCTTATAGTTTGCTAACAACTGGAGCACAATATGAGTTAAAAGCATAACAGACGTATAAAAGAGAATTTACTTTACATATTTGGGAGAAAACATGTTTCTTAAAGATTCCACTTTGCTAAAGTTGTATGGAATTACAATTCCAGAAAAAAAGCTGAAAACGAACTCCAACTCTTTAAAATCGCTAGCGCAAGCTCAGCAGCTGCAAGCACTAAGGACGCAATGCGATGTACACCATCGCATTCTTTTGCATGAAATCCTGCTTGTTCAAGTGTCTTCCTGTTCGTAAACCGAGCCTCGACAATAAACGCAGCGAAAGAACGATTCATCAGTCCCATAAAGTCAGAATTTCATAACGTCTTGCATTCTTTTTCATTGATAGACTAACACGAGGATGATAAAAAAAATTCAATTCATTTTCAACATTTCGGCGTCTTCTCCTTCTTCAGAGCCGGATTGATCCGAATCGATTGTCCACTGCTGTACACGATGGACTGCCCACAGAAACA